CGATCTTAAACCCTATAACTTAACTTTTCTCTTTTTAATACAAACCTTTTGTACTGCAAGCGGTTGTGCTGCCCAATGGATTTGAAGGGCTATATACGGATGAATTAATAGAAAGGGAAAGAAGAAAAAGTATTAATTACATCATTTTTAACATACTGATTTCTCTTTACTATAGTGAAAACTAGGTTTTCGTATGCCTTTCCGAAGGAGTTTCCTTATAGGATGAACCATGTAAGTATGCTGTTCGAAATACAACTTGATCAAATAAATTAAAAGACAAGTAATTGTTGGCAGGAAATCCTGTCCTTTAAATTTGTCACCGCTTAAGGCAGGGTAACTGAAGAAAAATCTACTGAAAGGAGAAATGGTTCAGTTTTAGCTAAACCAGGACAAAATTCTTAGAAAGAAATATTTTCGTACTCATATGTCATGTTGCTCATAATTAGTTTTGGATAGATTATTGGTAAAGTTACTTTTAAAAGTAATAAATCTTATATAACCTCCTTTCCTTAAATTGTTGACGGGAATGCTGTAAAGAGAAGTGACATGACTGGGTGACTGAAATACTGATTTTTATATAGTACGATGATAAAAGAGATTGAGCTTTTTCTGAATGTTCTTGTTTACAAATACATTGCTCCAGGGAAGGTAAACAGCCCTTGCACCTGGGATGCTTCCAAGCTTCCACACAGGAGCAGTTGGCTTACAGAAAGCAGTTTTGGTTTTGCTTGTAAAATGTAATGGCTTTTGAAAAACAATTTTTATTTATTATTTAACGTTTAGATTTACCAGTGGTTTTCAAGGCATTCTCAGTCACAGTGCTGAGAAATTTTGTAGCTTTTCTTGAAAGCAGTTTTGACCTGTGCTGTAGTATTTTGAAAGTTAAACAGATCTAATTATTTTTAGACCAGCTGTGACAAATACTGCTTTTTTTGTTGGTTTGCTTTTCACCCAATCTAAAAAGCCAAATGATATGTCAGAATATAAAATATCTAAGACCTTGCATTAAAACCACACTGTTGTTTTACAGATAAAGGCAAATGGAAATATATTTCAGAGTACTGCTTTCCTATAGCCAAAGCAGTCCAGTCTTTTCCTTGATACCCCTAATATGTCACTGTCTCTATGGAAAATGAGAGCTGATTTAATTGCTACAATTGGACAGCATATTTCATGTGAAATTAAATCTGAAAATACTTTAAAAGGCCATTTGGCATGATGAAAAGGCTCATAATTCTACAAAAGGACTTCTCTGTTGCTGTTAAGTGTTTGTACACTGGGAACAATTCACTGCTGCCAAAATTTGAAACAAATCAGACGAGTACTGCCAGTGAAGTAGTCTTTCATACTAAGCTTGATCCAAAATGTTTAAATGCATTGTTGTTATGACTAGAGTTAAGTTATGATGGTGGTAAGGCAATGGCTAATAATAGCTCAATTTTTGTGTGGTTTTGTAGTTTCAGGTGAAATGCATTTAGGACTGTTGGAAATACGTGTTGAGAATTCCTGTGCATTCATGGTGTTAAACTGGATGCCAGTTAATTCTTTCTGCTGTCTGAAACATGCTGCTGTTTAACTGTGATTTTACCTCTTTGCAGATACTAGAATGTGAATTCTATCTCTTAGAATTAATGGTAGGTGTTTTTTTTTGTGGTTTCCTTTTTTTTTTTTCCTGTGCCTCAGTTTGCTTTTTACTGATGAAGAATATTTTGAATTTTGTGCTATGAAATACGCATTATGCTTTTCCATCCCCTGCCCATTCCAATTTTAGAATGATGTCCATGCAGGTCTAACATTTACGTTTTCAGCAGAATGCCATAATTACTGTGCTGTCATCTGGGCTGAGTGAGGGCATTCTCACCTCCTTGCGTTGAAGCTGGACTTCTCAACAGAAAGAAGGCAGATTGTGGGAGCGGTGGGGACAGGAGGAGTGTGTATGGCTCGGCATCCTAGTGGTTAGAGCACTGTTGGGAAGGGTAAAGCCTAAGTTCTGTTTCCAGAACTGCTGCTGTTTTTAAAGGAAAGGTAACTGTATATAAGTCCTGATGCAGGGACCAGGATGTCAGAGTGCTTATTTCCCCAGGTGAATGCCAGTCAAGAGCATAAAGAGTTGTATTCTTTCTATGCCTCCCTTCTTCTTGCCTGGAAGAATCTGGAGCTGTACGTATACGTTCCAGCTTCAGCAGAAAGGGTGGGTAGTATCCCACTCAGGCTAGTCTCTAACCTGATAATTAGAGTTATCTTCTAGGAAGTGAGATGTGGGTTTGAATGCTGTGAGGGGGAAAAAAACTGAATTTAGGGCCTCCCATTTTCTGAGATGGGGCTGTAACTATTAGGCTGTTGGATGAAAGGAGTGGGGTGTGATATTTTCTTCCAGGCACTTTCAAAGAAAGGAGCTGTCCCTGCTTTTTGTAAGGGTTGCTAGCCCATTGCTGTGTTTTCTAGGGCAGCTGGAAGGATGCAGCCCAGGTTTCGTAGGGGGCTTAGGTAAAGCGGTGCCTAATTTCTGCGTATTGGTTGGGTTTGGGTGGGTTAGGCACCGAGCTCGCTGTGCTAGAGTAGTTCTGCTCGAGTGCAGGGGAGAGGAGAGAGAAACCAGGGAGGAGCCCAGTGAGTTAGGCAGCAACTGAGAAAGGATGTGTTTTGGGAACAGGACACAGAGAAGGTCGGATCAAAGTTTTTGTTTGTGCCTACCGTTGTTATAGACCCTTTTTAGCTATCCTGTTGAGATTTAATCCTTGATACCTCTGCTATACATGGCAGTAACTCTTGAGTTTTATATGCAGGAGTTTTATCACAAGTGACTGCATTTACAAGAAGTTACATTTTGGGGGTTCACTTATTTTTCCAGTATGCTATGCATTATATAGTATGTATAATAACTGTATCTCACTTCAGTGTTCAGCACATGTAACTTAATGTGGCTTTTCCCTATAGTATCCATACAGTTGGCTGCTTTCAGCGAGAGAGTTATTTCTTCTTGTTTACACCAACCTGGGCCTGAAATGAGAGGATTTGAGAGCAATGGATTTTTTTCTTTTTTTCTTTTCTTTCTTTCTTTCCAAACCAGTGTCAATTATTTTGGCATGCTTTCCATGTATGGTATTTAGTGACAGACTGTTTTCTGGCAGTATTTTGTATTTCCAAGTGGGAATTACGGGTTTGTAAGCAAATGAGGTTTCAGTGTGCTGCAGATGTGGCTTTCTGTGTCTCTGAGGGGAAGGATGCTGACAGACTGGCAACCGTGCTATGTAATGGTATTCTAGAGAGAGCACTGCCCTCATTAGAGCAGGGTTAGGTGTCAGAATGCTACTTTAAAAAAAAAATTTTAAAAATCAGTAATTGACTTGTGAACCAAATGTTTTTAATATGAACTAAGAACACATTCTGCATTGTAATCTAACTTTTATCCCGTTGACGTTTTTCCTAGGACTGCTGTTTGATAGTATATCATCCTTATAGACCTTTGCTCCAATATGTGCAAGATATGGGCCAAGAAGACATGCTGCTACCTCTCGCATGGTAATGAAGACACCGATTAACAGTAGTGCCTCCTTTCAGCAAGAAAGCAAGTGTTTAACAGTTATGCTTCAAAGGTGGTTAAGCAAAAGCAGGCTTAGCCATATTTGAATACAAAGGGTGCCCTGGTTAACCTGTGCAGGTATAAGTCCCTGACTTAGCTTATTCTGCCTTTAACCCTGTAATGATTTTACTTCACAGTGGTCTAATTTTTAGTTTTAGACTAGCTCTAATAGCACAGATTTTTACGCTACTGAATGGTGATGATGAGTAGAGGTAATCTTTTTCTATCAATGTCAGCTTTCTGTTTTATCTTGTCATAGGAGGTAGTAGCAGTATATAGGGCTTTTTAGCTGTGTTGGCAGAACTCCAGGTTTTGAACTGTTTCTCAAATACAGAAAGACAGTAAAAATACTACTTTTGTGCTCGCCCTTACTTACTTGTGAAACAGGGATAATTATTTTATGGTATTCGTCAACACGCTCTGCAGAAAAACACTTACGGTACTATAGTAGTGCTTCCAATTAAACTACTTCTGTGACTACAAGGAAAAAAATGAAAGGCTTTAAGAGATTTTTACACAGAAAGAGATCTTTTCCCTTGCTGTTTTGCCCTGCAGCCTCACTGCTTCAACCATCTGGGAAACACAAAATATTTCTAAACTGACAGCAGGTTTTGAAGTCATATAGTCTAAAGGTGAATAGGATGATACTCACAAGTTCTTTTTTGCACAGGAGGATAGTGAATGACACATATAGAACTGATCTTTGTCTGCTGTACCCTCCTTTCATGATAGCTCTAGGTAAGTACCACACGTGATGTCTCTTGTCATGTTTAACTGGATGTGTTCTGTGTGCTGTCCCATCCACAAGCATTCCTTAGAGTGCCCTCATAAGGTGCTTCAGTTTGTGTTTCACACAGTACTGACAGTGTAGCCTTGCAACTTAGAAATGCCTTGAAGAAAAATCAGATAGTTAATCCTGAGTTTTCTCTGTTGAACTGTGTAGTGTTTATAAAAAATGGAATCTTTCTAACTGTATCAAGAGTGGATCTTTGTTCAACATCCATGTCACCTGGTCTTTGCAGCTTGCCTACACGTGGCCTGTGTTGTCCAGCAGAAGGATGCAAGGCAGTGGTTTGCTGAGCTATCTGTTGATATGGAAAAGGTATTCTGTTTTTAATTCCCACCACCTGTTATGGACTGACTAGAACTGGTAGTCATGGTTATAAAACTACTGCCTTAAGTGTCTGCGGTACTGATTTGAACTTTATTCAGTGATCATAAGTTAGTTGCTGTTGAAATGAGGTAGATCTCTTGGGGAGGGAGACAATGTCAGGTCATTCGGTTATCACCCTGCTCTGAAGTGAAGACAGAACCATTGCATAATGGCAAAGTGTTGCTGCTGTTGCCATTTTTCAGATGGAAATATAAACCAAATATCCTTTAGATTTTTTGCCAGAAAAAGAATTGCTAGTGTTTTTGTCATTCAAGATTGCCAGCACGAGTTTGACTTTTAAATTCTAGTGCATGTGATTTTCTGATTCACCTTTCAGCATCGTGCCTACATACTGTTCTCATTTTCTCCCTATAAATGTACACAGTATAGCAGAGTGTAAAACGTTCTTGATGCTTTCCGGATGACCAGGACCGTGACTTCAGTCAGTGTTAAGCAGGGGGATGCCAAGATCATTCAGTTGAGTTCCCTGCTATTGCAAATTCTATGTCCAATAATCCCCTTCATAAATTTATCAGGTTCCAAGGTGCAGTTCCTCTCATCCCAATGAAGTTCTTCATCTTTACTAGTTCCTTTTACTCTTTAGGTTGACTTCTTTAACCTTGGTTTAGCTTCAGCAAGCAAGCCAAACTAGTACTCATACTCTTCATCACACTGTTTCACTCTGTGCATATTTTTCAGTCTATCCTTTTTCAAAACTGAGTCTCTGGAATTAAGTAGGATATTATGGATGAGATGTACCATTGCCCTCTGTGCCCTTGGTATTGCCCTTTATCCCACTGATGATATCCTGGCCTTGTATTTGTATTCCAGGATTTGTCTTCAAATGTAAGCACAGTGTGGATGCTATGCTGCATCAAGAGCTCTGTGAATTATGCTGTCAGGCATGTAAAAGCAGGGATAATAAATTGGCAGCAGAGGAGAACCAACCTACATTTGACAGATAAGGTTACCATACGCTTGATACTGAACATGTTTGAATGTTTACACGTCTCGGTTCTCGTGCCAGTGGTACAATCTAAGCTTGGTATTTTTTTACATTAACACCATGGACCTCTTAGCCAGCTATGACTTCTGTTCCAAGGATATATATTGTTCTAGCAGTTAATCAAAGTCCACATATTAAAAAGAAGAAAGAAGTTTACTTTATTAATTTGGAGAACGATGAAACAAATTATGAACCAAACATTATCCACCTTTTATATAGAATATTGCACTAGAAATTTAATAGGAAATTAAGTTAGTTGAAGTGCAGTAGATGGAAAATGTCCAAACTGGTAGAGAATGCTTACGCTTCCAGAAGTGGAATATGAAAGGTCAACAATTCTTATTATATGTATATAAGAATATAAAATAATATAATAGGAAT